CGGGACGTGCAGCGGGGAGTGGCGTTGTGTGGGGAAAGCAAACATGGGGAGGAAAAATCTAGTCGTAAGCGTCGTTTGTGAATTCCTCAACATGTGGCGATCCGCTTCTCTCATGCATGCCTATTTATCGGCACGCAATCGGCCAAAAACAAATGCCCCCATCGCTTCGCGCTATGAAAGTACCGCCTAGTACGTCCTCGAGATAATTCGGTGGATCAGTTGCAGATAACCACGCGGGGCTCGCTGCTGGTGAGCGTCACCGTCCACTACCCGCGCACCATCTTGTGACGTTTGGTACCATGCGTGCAGGAAACAAGTTACCCCGGACTACCGCCGTCTAAACGGCCACATGAACGACAGCGAGCGCAGTGCGGCCCTCCAACCTGCCTAGGCGAACCTGTGTCAATCAACCCTCTGTCGGTAACCCCCCCCCCCCCCCGGCGCGTGCTCCGTCCCGGCTTTGTAGGGCGCGAGCTCAATGGTCTAACGACGACGACATGCACGTCTATGAGCACACACACACTCCTTCGTGTCTGCTTGCCTCTTACCCTCGAGAACGGCTGCATGGCGATCGGCGCCAGACGCTTAACGGCGTTCATGAGGATGAAAACCACCGACACCACCCCCCAGGCGCTCGCCACGCCGAAGCCCGCCGGCTCCCCTTTCCCGGCCGCCCCCGCCCCCGCCCCTCCCCCCGTCACGAACAGGGCCTTGCCCATCAGCGGCAGCGTGTTCTTGGGAGCCACCGCCGCGGCCACAGGCGACGCGTGCGGGCGTTGCAGCAGGTCGTCGTTCTTCTGTTGCCGCTGTGTCTCCCGGGCGGCAGAAGCGAACGCCATTGACATGGACGAGGAGGACGACGAGGAGGACGAAGAGGGGCTGCTTCTCGGCGTGGGGCTGGACCGCGCGCCCCAGTGGGGCGCGCGCACGTCTGCCGAGCGGACACGCAGAAAAAAACAGGGCAGGAGAGATCATGAGAACCGGGGGGGAGCGCTACGGTAGAAAGCGGTGGTAGACACCGTTGTTTTGCCTGTCACGCTTTGACGGCAGCCCCATGCGCCGACCGACAAGGCAAGCAAGGCACCAGGTTAGCTCTTTAAGAACCTATTATAGCTATATTGTTACAGGTGGCAGGTGCAGAAAAAAAACAAAAACGCGTCCGCTCATTGGGATTGGGTGTACAAGTCCCGATGGACGAGGCTGAACTTGGTATTAGAGAGAAAAGTGTTCCCAAATGCACTACACTTTCCAGCTGAAGCCAAGTCAACAAAAAAATCCAGTACTACGCTACATACAGACTTTTTCCGACAAGGGGACACGCAGCTTGGGAGATATGCTTACAGAAAGTGAGAAGCCGAGGAGGCACACGGGTGCCACACGGGTGCCTGGTATACCACACCAGCGTATGCTATATATTAATACATACCACCTCACACAAGCATAAGCACGGTTATAGACCAGGGTTTCCCACGCGCGTTTCACACCACGGAGTATAGTGACGACTACGGTGCGGTAAACAGACATTTGAATGCTGTGTGCCCATTTGGGATTCCAGTACCAACTGGGTTAAGATTCGAGTCATCCGTATGCATAAGGCGTTCGCGATCCTTTCACGGGTGGTTATCATACATACATGCGTGTGGCAAGTGGAACCAGCAGGTCAGCAGGTGTACGTGATGTCCTACGTATGCATATGAAGTTCATCTGATCATTTAGGAGTATAGACGCCCCGTCGGCATGGTTGCGGGAGCACTTCGCGGAAGAGGTGGGATATGAAATCGAACCGTATATGTGTGCCAGTCGATCACCACGTGTGAGTCGTACAGCATCCTCCTGCCGGCCCCAAACATCCCAGAGCCGCCCATGTGTTCTCGGGAAGAAAGCGGGGAGATTCCGATGCAGAATATCTTCCTGTGGCTTTAATAGACTCTAGCTGATCCCGCGCGTGTTTCGACTTCTAATACGGCAAGAACAGCTATCCGTGAAGCGTATGGCTGAATTCGCTGCGGGTTTTTGCGGAGAGACGCTGCTTCCGGGGTGTGCAGATGGTCGATCAACCCCCTTCTCCAACTGCGACCGCGTGTGTAAATGGGGTACAGTAGCACTCAGCTGTAGACCGAAAATTACACGACGAGCACACTAAAGAGGAACAAAAGATGAGCAGCATGGACAAAGCACCCTCAAACGGACTGCCGTAATAATCGAGAGAACACACAGCGCTTTTGACAAGGGGGTGTACTCACGGAAAGGCTCCAGTGGCGCCACGGTTGCTGCGGCAGCTCCGACGAAGGCGGAAGACGAGGCACCGGTGCTGGCGCTGGCCGAAGAACGAGGACCGCTGATGGCGGTGGCGACGGCGGCGGTCAACCACAAGGCACGGAGCGTTGCTCCTTTGGCGTGCATACCGGCAAAATCAGTGTTACCCGTAGCGGGAGTGGCAGCGGCAGAGGCAGCGGCAGGACAGAGTTGCACTCCACAGCAGGCGTGAGGTGCGATAGCAGAACAGCAGGATGGCAACCAAGTCACCAAGTCGCTCGCGAGGAAGAGGCTACGCGGATTCATTAGAATATACCTCGTTTTCCCATTCGTGAAGCCTCCTCTCGGCGCGCAAGCAGGGCAGACACAGCCACCTTTTGGGCTTGGGGCAGAGGCGGAGACAGAGAGAGGGCGTGGCGCTAGACTCATCACTCTCCAGCAAGAAGAGAGAAAGCGGTGTAACTTGAAAAGGCCTTCGTGCCTGCTTGGCTCTACCGCAGCAGATAGCGCTAAGCAAACGATGGAGAACAACGTCCACCCGCAGGTTGGTTCAAAGCGACCGCTCTCGGAGACGATCTCACAACCTAGCCAACAAGCGCTCGCTGTGTCTTCGGCCCCACCGCCAGCCGCGAGCGCGGCTGCGGCTGCCGCGTCGGGGTCTTCCTCGGTAGCGACGACAGCGTCGAACGGTGGCGCGGCGGTGGCGGGGAGCGATGATCCTAAGCCCGGCAGGTCGAAGGCGGCCTACGGGCCGGACATGCGGATCCTGGAGGTGACCAACAACGGCGATCCCTCCAACATGGAGATGCTTATCCACCTCAAGGTGCGTGGGGGGGCATGCACGTGTAGTTGGTTCTGGTGCTGATATGAAAAGAGAGAGGTTATTAGGATCCTTGCCATCGCGCGCGTGTGTGGGAACTACAAGGTGTGGTCTATTTGTGTCAACGTGAGAGGGTAAGGCTTGCATGCGGGTCGTTTCCGCGAACGACCGCAGCGGTGGGCTCTCTTGCAGACGTCGGCGCAGTGTGCGGGTCTTGTCTTGTCGTCCAGGTTGTTGTGACGGAGGTCTTGACATGGCGATCCAAAATTTTCATGAAGGGGAACTCTGGCGTAGACACATGTGCTGATTTTGAACTTCGGGTACAACTGCGGACAATCTTGTGCTCAACGTGTGATGTCACGGCGGTGTCACATGGATGTGTAGGTATGCATACCTCGGCCTGAGCCTCTCTCGATCGAAAATTGAAGATATGTATAGTTAGGCTTAGCGTCAAGAAGAGAGCGATTGCTATTTGTTACATGCCGGTAGACGCGTTTGATGACAGCAGCTTGTTGGCTTGATTTTTGCGGCTTGATGGCTGCTGTTCCTCGCTTCCTCTGCCGCCGCTGCTTGCTTCGTGTCTCTCTTCGCCGGCAGGAGATCTTCCACCAGCAGTTGCCCAAGATGCCCAAGGAGTACATCGTGCGCCTCGTGTTCGACCGCAAGCACCACTCCATCGTGCTCACCAAGAAGGGCGTCCCAATCGGCGGCATCACGTACCGCCCCTTTGTCGAGCAGAAGTTCGGGGAGATCGCGTTCTGCGCGGTGGCCAGCAACTCGCAGGTGCCACGACAGATATATCGACGAGTCTTTCGTGTGGCAATGGCGTACTGCTGTAGTACGGCGGTGCTGAAGGGTACGGGGTTGTGGTACATTCGTACCTCGCTGCATTGACCTACATCGAAAGGATGGTGGTGTTGTGGTACATTTGGTCGCGAAACGCGAGTCATGCCCGTGCGTCGTGGTAACCGCGCGAGGTCCCCCTCTCCTGCTGCAGCAAAGGCTAGCGTGTGCTTGCGGATATCACTGAGGATGGCACACGCTTGTTCGACCCCGGTCTTGTTTTCGGGTTGACCGGTAAATCAATTGCCGTCGACCGGTGCCGTTCTGCGGTGTGCTCCCCTTTGGGATAACGATACTACACGACACACAGGTACAAGGGTACGGCAGCCGCCTCATGAACGAGCTCAAGATGGTGGCCATCAGAGAAGACTTGTCCCACTTCCACACGTACGCCGACAACTACGCGATCGGGTACTTCGCGAAGCACGGTTTCACGAAGAACCTGACCATGTCTCGCGACAGATGGTGGGTCAAGCGGCGGGGGTGGGGGGCACGAAAGGAAAAAAGTATTTGTCGCATACTATGGTTGGTGTGGTCGTTACTGGTGTTGTTTGGTTGCGTCGCTGTTGCGTCACATTCATTTGACCGTTGTGATGGGGTTCTTGGTGCTCTGTTTTTTACACATGTTGTTGTTGACTTTGTCGGACTGCTGTTTGCTGCTGCTGCTGCTGCTGCTGCTGCTCCTGCTGCATTTCATGTGTCACCGTCCCGTCCACCCGCGCAATCGACTTCGATCATGTAACAGTTACCAAACGTTCAGAATAGCCGCTGTACGGTCAACCAACCGACCAGTCCGTAGTTTTCTGGTTATACCCATCCGTTCCTCAATAACGAAAACGCGTTTCTTCCCCCGTCGCTCTCTCTCTCTCTCTCTCTCTCTCTCCTCCCTCACTCCCTCCATCTCGTTGCTTCTCTCTATCGCGCGCGCTCACTCGCGCCTGAACCAAAACCGAAACCAAAAGGTTCAACTACGTGAAGGACTATGACGGCGGGACGCACATGGAGTGCTACGTCCACCCCACGGTGCCGTACATGAAGCAGGCCGAGATGTTCGAGATCCAGAGCCAGTTCCTCAGGGAGCGCATCGCCGACATCTCGTCCAGCAAGGTCGTGCACCCCGGCCTATCCGAGGAGGCATTCCACAGCCTCGAGCACCATATCGACATCCCAGGTATTTGAAGCTCTACCCACTACAACAACAGTAGTCATTTACCCGATGCAGTGACCGACACTGACGCCGTCGGATAGGTCTACGGTAGAGCCTCGGACGGCGCTACGCCGGTCGCCGGTATGGCCGCCCTCGCCGAACAACAACACACCCTGTCGCCGGGAGGGTTGGCATCGTGTGTAGTCTTGGTATCGAGGTGTTGCGACACCGATGCTTTCTCTCCGCCGCAGAAAATTGCAACCTGTTCACTCCCAACTAGAGATATTCGAACCCGCACTCCTAGCATGCTTCACGAGATTACCCGCTTAGACCGCACCGGGGCGACCGGCCGAACATACCTGCGTGTGCCTATGCATTACGCCCTGAGCGTCCCCACACGCTCGCTCACGCTACGGTGCAATGCAGGGGTTGCCGAGGCCGGGTGGACTATGGACGAGCTCAACGCGCAGAACCGTCGCAAGAGGGACGGGGACGCGCTCGCCGTCAACAAGGAGCTGCTGGCGATCTGGAGGGAGCTCGAGAAGCACGACGTGGCCTGGGTGTTCCGCGAGCCGGTAGACCTGACGGAGGTCACAGACTACACCTCCATCATCGAACGTCCCATAGGTAAGGGCGGGGGCGAGGGGGGGGGTCGCCGTGTGTGTGTGGTGTATGTGTGTGTGTTTCGGCTGTGGTGTTTTAAGGGGTAGGGTGTTGTCAGCAGCGCCAAGCGAAAAAGCCACAGCACGAGTGTGTGTGAAGTGTGTCTTGCGTTGGTGATTTTGCACGCCTACGGACCGCGCTAGAGTAGCCGACTTCATGGCGATAGCCGACTTTCCCGACGAAAACACACACGGTCTGTGTATGTGCTGCTTTGCAATCCATACCCCGCCATACGCCTCTATCTCCAGTCCTCCAGTCCTGCAGTGCTGTAGAGAACTTTGGCGCAGGCCAGCGTTCGTTCCTCGGGGCTGTTTTTGGTTTAAGAGAAGGGTTTTTTGTTGTGACCCTCTGGACCTGAGCGGCAACCCCGTTCTCCTTGTGTGTCTGCCCAACGACCGCACCTTACGAAGAAATATCGGACCTGAAGCGTGATCATAGAAGACCGGCTTCGAAAACCTCCGTCTCATACCGTGATGTATAACATCCTCTCTCTCTCTCTCTCTCTCTCTCTCTCTCTCTCTCTCTCTCTTTACCGGCGTTCAGCTTATCTGTTTTAGTTTTACACCAATCCAACCCGTCCCCGCACACCCGCCCCCTAATAAAATCGCGAACGAAACTGAAAAAAACAGACCTGAGCGTGATCCGAGAAAACCTCGACGAGCTAGACCCGAAGCCTTTCTACTTGAACAAGGAGCAGCTTCGCGAAGACCTGGACCTCATGATCCGCAACTGCAAGAAGTACAACGGGCAGGAGACCGAGTTCTGGGCGGCCGCCGAAACGATGGAAAAGTTCATCGCCGAGATCTACGATCGATCGTGACGTTGGCACCGACCTCCTGCTATAACTATTACTAGAATGCTACATACCCTGATTGTACCACAAGCAGATGACTGATTGACGCGTGGATTTGGTCATCGTGCTTTTGTTGTTTCGCCTCGTTTGTGTAAAGATTTGTCCGCGCCCTCCCGCACTTATGGTGGCGCATGTTGCAAGTTGTGGTAGTGTTGATTCCTGCCGGTGCTTTGCTGCCATCGGAGACTTTCTGCGCTCCACGCTGGGAGCCAGGGAGGTACGCCGTCTGGCTGGGCGAGCGAATTTATTTTCTAGATTTCGAGTGTACAGAGGGGGAGGGGGGAGGCGCAGGGGAGGACGATGATGAGTGATGATGTGGTTTTTCCGAGACCACCCACGTAGGAGGCGAGCGCTGGAAAGGAGGAAGAGAGTTTGTTGTGCCACCACGCACGAGGCACATCGGTGCGTGGGCATGCGGGGTTGGGAATCCAATTTCGAGCAACGGGAGGGGGCGTAGGCTAAAGGGGCGACGATCTCGGTGTTGGCGTATTAACTCGCGGCCTTGGTGTGTTGCTGCTGTGTTTCTTTGCCGGCTGAGGTTGGCTGCTTGGCGGGAAGACGCGATACAAGCGCGCCACGTGGAGCGGGAAATGTATCACCGCGGATAACACTCAAGGCTCGGCTATCACACGTTGCCGTAGATTTGCTCGTGCTCTGCTGCTGCTGCTGCTGCTGCTGCTGCTGCTGTATCGGCACTGCTGTTTTCGACGTGGCATCAAGTTCTCACGGATTGTTGTATTTGCTGTAATCTTCTTCTCTTCATTTATTTCTGTAATCCTATGTCGCGTTGTAAAGGGCGAATGTTTCCTTGTGCGGTTCTACTGTACTGCTATGCATACTGCAGGCTGGAGCTAGGTGGACGGACGAGAGCGGGCCAAAAGTCAAACCTTGTCGCAGGTGTTCAAATGCTCGTTTTAGGGCTTTGTTTTTTAAGTTGAGCGTGGGGAAAGCGGCTGTGACTAGTTGATGTGTCTGATCCAGCCCGGCTCTGCTCCTCATAGATTGATCGTGATACGGCCTGATTTCGTGTTGTTGGTATGTATGTGCTGTGGTGGTGATGTATGCGTGTGTGGGTACCTACATGCGTAGTTCGTCTTGTGCGTGCGTAACTCGTCTCACACTGCGCGGCAGACGTTGCAAGGGCAAAAGCGGTCAAAGGGGCGAACCTACTGTACTCGACAAGGTGTTTTTGTGTAGGGGACAAGCTGCGTGTGCTTCTGCTCATGGTATTTTTGAACGGCGGAGGCGAGGGTACTTCGAGCCCTGTCTGTCTGGTTCATGTGATGCTTCCATCCGGAAAACAATCTGGGAATGTTTTCAAGTCGAGGGAACGAACTCACGGTGAGAAAGCGAGAACGACAGTGTTGTGGTGGGAGTACATGTACGGACGTAGTGCTGGGTCCTGCTGACTAATTTTTAAAGCTACTTTTTTTGTTCCTTATCCAGATTCTTATGGATTTTTAAATGGCAAACAACTAGAAAAGTAAAAATATCTTTTAAAAGAAAACAGGATTTTATTCAAAAGATGTTTTTCTTGACTAATGTAGTGCAATGCATGAGATACCACAGCTCCTGGAACGATCTTGAAAGAATAGTTACTCCACGACGAAGAGGATGCTGATTCAAAAGGATACGTTGTCGGAAAGCTCTCGACGAGACGGTTCCAACGCCGACATTTTCGCCTCCGTCGCTGCTTTTCCTGCCGAGTAGGCGAGCTTTGGAAATCTGGCCAGGGGGTGTGATATCTTATGCAACCTACGGTAGTGTCATGCTTGGAAGTACGTTCGTTCTTATGCATGTACATATGCGTTTTCGTACCGGCGATTCCGTGCACATTCTATACCTTTGGTATCCTGGTACAACGTGCTTCACGCACGAGCCTGGCTCACAAACGAAGAAGGGTAAAAAAAACTTGGGGGAGTTGTCGCTCTTTTCGACCCTCATTGCACCTTCTGGCATGAACCCGCCGCATGGAATCAATTCGCACGGAATCAAACTAAACACGGCAGTGCTCTGGGTATGAAACCTCGTGCTCTGCCTCCATGGGGACCGTCCAAAAGGCTCACGACCGGACAAGGAGTGGACAACGGGCGGGGGG